CTTGCATCTGAAGAGGTGAGGTTCTTACCCACGAAAGCTTATGCTCGCAGTACTTCTGTTAGTCTCAAAGGTGCCACAGGACCCTCTGTTGCTTTAGCCTTGTGTGTTCACTTATCACTGTGAGAACGTGCATGATAAAGACACTGTTCTGATTGGAAGCATTTTTCCCCCTCGCTACCCTCACGCTGGGCAGGTATAAATGATTACCCATGGCGCACAGCAGCAGGGAGTCAGGATCTCGCACACTAAGGCTTGGTCTACACTAAACCCCCAAATCGAACTAAGGTACGCAACTTCAGCTACGTGAATAACGTAGCTGAAGTTCGAAGTACCTTAGTTCGAACTTACCTCGGTCCGCACGCGGCAGGCAGGCTCCCCCGTCGACTCCACGGTACTCCTCTTGTCTAGCTGGAGTACCGCAGTCGACGGCGAGCACTTCCGGGTTCGACTTATCGCGTCCAGACAAGACGCGATAAGTCGAACCCAGAACTTCGATTGCCAGCCGCCGAACTAGCGGCTGGGTGTAGACATACCCTAATAGATGGAGAGTCAAGGACGTGTGAGTTGGACTCTGATAATGAGCTTTTGGGGCCAAATTCATAGTTGTCCTATGGCTTCTTTGTGCCATCTAGGGTGAGAGGTGTCATGGTGCCAGCATAAACCACCTAACAATCTACTCTGCCACCCCCCAGGGGCCCACTTTGCCACAGTTACCCTATGCCACAACTTAACTCTGCTCTCTCCACCATCCATCCCCTCTCCATACACCACACTGTGATGCCAAACATTCACAGCTAATCTTTGTTCTGTGTTTGTACAGCACCTAGCACAATGGGCTCCTGGGCCATTACTGCGGCTTCTAGGGGTACAGTAACACAAATAAATTGTAATATTGGGAGGGGGAAATTGGGTAGAGGGGTGTGCACAGAAGGGTCAGTTGAGAGGGCAGAGGTAAGGTTGCCATGCATGGTCTGTAATAATACTGCCACTGGGGGAATTCTGTGACAAAAAAATAAAAATTCTGTGCATGATATTTTAAAATTCTGCAAAATTCTGTATTTTTATTTATCAAAATAGCACAATATAATCAGCCAGTTTCAATTATTTTGGTAATTTATTTCAAAATACCTGTCAGCAAGTATGTCTGTAACAATATAAATAAACAGATTCAGGATTTTTTTTTGATAAATAGATTCCTTAGTATGCATATTAATAGAGAACTTGGAGTAATTCATTTCAGCTACACTACAGAAACGTATCTTCTGCACCCCTCAGAAGCAGTGCAAAGGCTTGGGGAAGTCAGGGTAACAGAGGAGCTGAGGGAGAGGGAATAAGCCTGGCGTGAACCTGGAGGGTTGGTTGTGGGTGGGAGAAGTATGGAAAACATTTTTGGGGGGGTAGGATTGTTAGGGAGTTGGGGACCCTGGGTGACTTCTAGTCACTCCCATACAGTCAAGCACATCTTCCCCCATCCCCACGTGTCCCTGCACCCCCCACCCTTCTGTCCCCAAGTGACCCTGGAGCCCCCTCCCATTCAGCCCCTGGCTCAGTGCTGGCTGTCACCCCACTAGCTCCTCAGCCCACGTCCCAGTCTCCCCCAACACTAGCCCTTCTGAACCACAGTCTGTGACCTGCCCCCAGCTCTGTCCTCCTGTGCCTCCTCACCTGGCCCCATTGTGAGGAATGCAGCATCTTCCCCATCTGCTCTCCATCTGCTGGCTGCACTCTCTTCTGGCACCACAGCAACCCCTGGTGGGTGAAAGGTGTAACTGCAGCATCTCTCCAGCAGAATCTATATTCTGCAGAGAAAAAAAAATCTGCGCGGGACATGAATTCTTGCCGTGCACAGTGGCGCAGAATCCCCTAGACGTATATTACCTCGCTTTTATATAATATAGAGTCGCTGTGGTAGTGGTAAGGTATCTGTGGGTAGAGAACTGGATATGTACTATTAGATGGCTTGAGTTTCTTTATGTGCTTTTTGGTTTTGTATCAGTAGGTTGAGTGCTTAGCAACTCTGACCAAAGATGTTTATAAACTAACAAGCTGAAATCAGTAAGATATACAAAACAAACCAAGGTATACAAAACAAACCTTTGAAAGTGAGAGAATAAGAAAGCTGTACTGGGGTCACAATTACATTTATTATGTAAAGTAGGTACATCATTAACTATGGCTCTAAGTGTATGATTCTTTAATAGTAGCAAAGCAGTGTCAAAACTTACTGATCTTCTTTTTTCCCTTACAGTGTGATATTGTCATGTTTGAAACTGGAAAGATTGGCATGTGAATAGTTTTCCATGATATAGTCGTATAATCATATCACTTAAGATACTTACCAGGGAATGAAGGGAAATCCAAATACTGTAAAGTGCAGTGTAATTCCAAATTTTCTTGGCAAATAATTTTGACCACTGCTATTGAATAATGGCTTTAAAATTGCATGGTTTATCTCTGAAATTTGCATACCTCCAGTTGGCGGCATACAGCTTTGAAGAAAAAAACTGTATATCTGTAGTCTTAGATTGTATTCATATCTAATTAGGTTATATTGATGAAGATCAGTTTGTGGCTTGGATGCAGACCCTTCCACAACATATGTTAACATCAGTGATGCATTTTCCAATAATACCATCAAACATCACTCTTCTTAAGGAATTACAGCCATCTTTTCCTACTGTAAGTAGATTTTTAATTTTTCAACACCCATGTGATAGGTCAGAGAAGGCAGCAAACAATTTCCACTCTACCTCGCACTGATGAGGTCTCAGCTAAAGAGTTGTGTCCAGTTTTGGGTACATCACTTTAAGAAGAGTATGGACAAATAGGAGAAAATCCAGCTAAGAGTAACAAAAATAAGAGGTTTAAAAACCATAGCCTATGAGGAAAGGTTGAAAGAACCTGTTAGGAAGAGGACAGTAATCACTTATTCTCCATGTCCACTGAAGATAAGAGAAGAAGTAACAGGCTTAGTCTGTAGCAAGAAACAATTTTCTAACTATTAAGATAGTTTAGTTCTGGAACAGGCTTCCAAAGGAGGTTGTGGAATCCCCATCACTGGACATTTTAAAGAACAGGTTGGCCCAACACCTGGCTGGAATGCTCTAGGTTCACTTGGTCCTGCCTCAGGATGGGGGTTGAGCTCGATGACCTCTCGAGGTACCTTTTCCAGCCATACAGTTCTAAAAACTCAAGATTTTTAATTCAAAAAGTTTCATTTTAAATAAAACGTCGACCCTTTGGCTCTGGGGAACAAGCCCAACAGTAGCAGGCCAAGATTTTTAAAAGTGACTAGTGATTTCAGGCACCCAGCCTGAGGCACCAAATTCAGAGGGCTCAACACTTTCTGAAAAATCAGGGCCAGTTAAGATGTCGCAGGTTGCGCACTCAGAAATGGATGCCCCTGAATGACTAGCCGTGGTTGAACACCTTGGTGTCAGTTAATAACTGATGTGGGTTTTCAGCAAGGAAATTACAGTGAAACTATAAACGTCCATATAACACCCCACAAGAGGTGGCCTCTTGCGATTCACGGCTGGAGTAGCCTCTTCTTCATCAGAGATAGCAGCCCTTGCATGGGGCAGGCCCTGAACCCCAATAGCATCATGAGGGCATTAATCCTCCATCTCTGATTTATGGAGCGATTTCTGGGGGTGGGGTTTACTGAGAAAAATCGATCCTGCAAGGAGCCGACAGGAGTTAAGGCCCCAACTTACTTGATTCCCTTGGAAAATCCCATCTTTAATCCACACTAGAGCTACCATGCTGTTTCTGTCACTGTCAAGGTTCCTTCCCCACTCTCAACTTCAGGGTACAGAGGTGGGGACCTGCATGAAAACCTCTAAGCTTAGCTACCAGCTTAGATTTGCTTTTGCTGCCACCCCCACAAATGATTCATGCGTTATTTGGGAAACTGACTTCCCCCCAAAACCTTTCCATCCCTGAATAGCCTTGAGAGACTCCTCCACCAATTCCCTGTTGAACACCGATCCAAACCCCTTGGATCTTAAAACAAGGAGGAATTAATCCTTCCCCCTCCTCTTTCCCCCCACCAATTCCTGGTGAGTCCAGATCCAATCCCCTTGATCTTAAAACAAGGAAAAATCAATCAAGTTCTTAAAAAGAAGGCTTTGAATTAAAGAAAAAAAGGTAAAAATCATCTCTGTAAAATCAGGATGGAAAATAACTTTACAGGGTAATCAGATTCAAAGAGCCCACAGGAACCCCCTCTAGCCTTAGGTTCAAAGTTACAGGAAACAGAGGTAAACTCTCTAGCAAAAGGAACATTTACAAGTTGAGAAAACAAAGATAAAACTAACATGCCTTGCCTGGCTATTACGTACAAGTTTGAAATATGAGCGACTTGTTCAGAAGATTTGGAGAGCATGGATTGATGTCTGGTCCCTCTCAGTCCCAAGAGCGAACAAACCCCAAAACAAAGAGTACAAACAAAAGCCTTCCCCACACCAAGATTTGAAAGTATC